AGCCTTTAGCTTCTACACAACACATTTCTTCTAGCCTTTAGCTTCTACACAACACATTTCTTCTAGCCTTTAGCTTCTACACAACACATTTCTTCTAGCCTTTAGCTTCTACACAACACATTCATGTGCCTAGCTTCTTCTAGCATTTAGCTTGTGTTCAGCTACTTTTAGAATTTAGTTGGTGTTCTGCCTCTTTTAGCTTTAGCTAGTGTTCAGTGTCTTTTAGCATTTAGCTAGTGTTCAGTGTCTTTTAGCATTTAGCTTGTGTTCAGTGTCTTTTAGCATTTAGCTAGTTTTCAGCCTCTTTTAGCTTTAGCTAGTGTTCAGTCTCTTCTAGCCTTAGCTAGTGTTCAGCATCTTTTGGCTTTAGCTGCTGAGTTTCAGCTCCTTCAGCTCTTTTCGGCTGTTTGTTTCAGTCACTGAAGGATTATAGCGTGAGGATTATTTAAAGCTGATACACAGATTTAAATCGCCCTCAAACAGAAACGTGTAAACAGAGTGCTAACGTGCACGTTAGCATGCGGCTGCTTCTGGTTAGCGTGTGTTAGCCTGTGGCTGTTTCTGGTTAGCCTGTGGCTGCTTCTGGTTAGCCTGTGTTAGCCTGCGGCTGTTTCTGGTCAGCCTGTGTTAGCTTGCGGCTGACTGTGGTTAGCCTGTGTTAGCTTGCCGCTGACTGTGGTTAGCCTGTGTTAGCTTGCAGCTGACTGTGGTTAGCCTGTGTTAGCCTGTGGCTGCTTCTGGTTATCCTGTGTTAGCCTACGCCTGTCTCTGGTTAGCCTGTGTTAGCCTGCGGCTGCTTCTGGTTAGCCTGTGTTAGCCTGCGGCTGTCTCTGGTTAGCCTGTGTTAGCCTGCAGCAGTCTCTGGTTAGCCTGTGTTAGCCTGCGGCTGACTGTGGTTAGCCTGTGTTAGTCTGTGGCTGCTTCTGGTTAGCCTGTGTTAGCCTGCGGCTGTCTCTGGTTAGCCTGTGGCAGTCTCTGGTTAGCCTGTGTTAGCCTGCGGCTGACTGTGGTTAGCCTGTGTTAGTCTGTGGCTGCTTCTGGTTAGCCTGTGTTAGCCTGCGGCTGACTGTGGTTAGCCTGTGTTAGTCTGTGGCTGCTTCTGGTTAGCCTGTGTTAGCCTGCGGCTGACTGTGGTTAGCCTGTGTTAGTCTGTGGCTGCTTCTGGTTAGCCTGTGTTAGCCTGCGGCTGACTGTGGT